GGTGCTCCCAGGAATGGGAATGGGAATGGGAATTCTCCGTGCCAGGAGGCTGCTGTGCAGCCCTATAGCCCAAATGGGTGCTCCCAGGAATGGGAGTGGGAATTCTACGTGCCAGGAGGCTGCTGTGCAGCCCCACGGCCCCAATGGGTGCTCCCGGGAATGGGAGTGGGAATGGGATTGGGAATGGGTGATGCCAGGAGGCTGCTGTGCAGCCCCGCAAGCCCACCGTGCTGCTGGGAACGGGATTGGGAATGGAATTGGGAATGGGTGACTCCAGGAGGCTGCTGTGCAGCCCGGTGGCCTCGATGCTGCTCCTGGGAATGGGGTTGGGAATTCTCCATGCCAGGAGGCCACTGTGCAGCCCCACGGCCCTGGCGCATTCCCTGGAATAGGATTGGGAATGGGCAACACCAGGAGGCTGCTGTGCAGCCCCGCAGCCCCGGCACGCGCTCCCGGGATCGGGAATGGGCGACACCAGGAAGCCGCCGCGGCTTCCCGGGAACACCGGCAGCATCCCGGGAGCTCCCGGCGCGGATCCCCCGGGCTCACGGCAACCTCCCGGCCGCAGGAAACCATGGAGGACATCGACAAGAACGGCGACGGCTTCATCGACCTGGAGGAGTACATCGGTGAGCGGCCCCCCATTCCCAGCGGGATTTGGGAAGGCTCCAAAGGACGGAGCCGCGGGAGCAGCAGCGCGCCGGGGCGGCTGTTGCGCGGCGCCTGTCGCCGCTACAGCCGGTGCCCCGCCGCGCAGGTGACATGTACAGCCAGGATGGGGACACGGAGGAGCCCGAGTGGGTGAAGACGGAGCGGGAGCAGTTTGTGGAATTCCGCGACAAGAACCGCGACGGCAGGATGGACAAGGAGGAGACCAAGGACTGGATCCTGCCCACGGACTACGACCACGCCGAGGCCGAGGCCCGGCACCTCGTCTACGAGTCCGACCGCGACAAGGTGCGTGGCGGGGCGCGCGGGGACCCCTCGGAGCGGGTCGGGGTGCCCTGGGACCCCTCGGAGCGGATTGGGGTGCACGGGGACCCCGCCGGGTGGATCGGGGTGCACAGGGACTGCTCCGAGCGGATTGGGGTGCCCGGGGACCCCTCAGAGCGGATTGGGGTGCGCGGGGACCCCTCGGAGAGGGTCGGGGCGCGCGGGGACCCCTCGGAGCGGATTGGGGTGCCCGGGGACCCCTCGGAGCGGATTGGGGTGCACAGGGACTGCTCCGAGCAGATTGGGGTGCCCGGGGACCCCTCGGAGCGGATTGGGGTGCCCTGGGACCCCTCCGGGTGAATCGGGGTGCTCAGATCCCCATCCAAGTGGATTGGGGTGCTCGGGGGTCCCCTCCGAGCAGATCGGGGTGCCCGGGGACCCCTCTGAACAGATTGGGATGCCCGGGGACCCCTCTGAGCCCATTGGGGTGCCCGGGGACCCCTCCACATGGATCGGGGTGCTCAGATCCCCATCCGAGTGGATTGGGGTGTCCGGGAACCCCTCCGAGCAGATCGGGGTGCTCGGGTTCCCCTCCAAGCGGATTGGGGTGCTTGGGGACCCCTCCGAGTGGATCAGGGTGCCCAGGGACCCCTCCGAGCCCATCGGGGTGCTCAGATCCCCATCCAACTGGATTGGGGTGCCCAGGGGCCCCTCTGAGTGGATTGGGCCACTTGGATCCCCCTCCGAGCGGATTGAGGTGCCCAGGGACCCCTCTGAGTGGATCCGGGTGCCTGGAGACCCCCTTTGGGCGGATCAGACCACTTGGATCCTCTCCAAGCAGATTGGGCCGTTCAGATCCTTTGTGAGCGGATCAGGCCACTTGGATCCTCTCCAAGCGGATCAGGCCGCTCAGATCCCCCTCTGAGCCGATCGGACTGCTTGGATCCCCTCCAAGCAGACCAGACCTCTTGGATCCTCTCCAAGCGGATCAGACCGCTTGGATCCCCCTCTAAGTGGATCAGCCTGCTTGGACCCTTTCCAACTGGATCAAGCTGCTCAGATCCCTCTCCAAGCGGGTCAGGCCACTTGGATCCCTTTCCTAAGCGGATCAGGCTGCTTGAATCCCTTTCCAAGCGGACCAGGCTGCTTGAATCCCCTTTCCAAGTGGATCAGGCTGCTCGGATCCCCTTTCCAAGCAGATCAGGCTGCTTGGATCCCCTTTCCAAGTGGACCAGGCTGCTTGGATCCCCTTTCCAAGTGGATCAGGCCTCTCAGATCCCTTTCCAAGTGGATCAGGCCTCTCAGATCCCTTTCCAAGTGGATCAGGCCTCTCAGATCCCTTTCCAAGTGGATCAGGCTGCTCGGATCCCCTTTCCAAGTGGATCAGGCCACTTGGATCCCTTTCCAAGTGGATCAGGCCACTTGGATCCCTTTCCAAGTGGATCAGGCTGCTTGGATCCCCTTTCCAAGTGGATCAGGCTGCTCGGATCCCCTTTCCAAGTGGATCAGGCTGCTCAGATCCCCTTTCCAAGTGGATCAGGCCACTTGGATCCCTTTCCAAGTGGACCAGGCCACTTGGATCCCTTTCCAAGTGGACCAGGCTGCTCGGATCCCCTTCCCAAGTTGATCAGGCCACTTGGATCCCCTTCCCAAGCGGATCAGGCCGCTCAGATCCCCTTCCCACGCGGATCAGCCCACCCCCATCCCCTCCACAACCTCCCCCTCGCCATTCCCCATTCCCCCCACGGCCATTCCGGGGCGCATCCCCCCTCTCCCAGCGCCTCCCAGCGCATCCCAGCGTATCCCGCCGTGTCCCGCAGGACGGCCGCCTCACCAAGGAGGAGATCGTGGCCAAGCACGACCTGTTCGTGGGCAGCCAGGCCACCGACTTCGGCGAGGCGCTCGTGCGGCACGACGAGTTCTAGGCGCCGCTTCCCGCCTTATTTATTTGGGACTCCTCCGGGAAGAGCGCGGGAAGCGCTTCCCGCCGCCCACACCGGCAGCCAGCAGGTGGGAGAACACACACACACACACACACACACACACGTGGGAATGGGATGGATGGCGCTTCCCGCTCCGGCAGCTCCTGTGGGGTTTTGTATTTGGGCTCCGTGGGAAGAGGAGCCGCATCCCGCCCGGAGCCGCCCCCCTCTTCCGGGTTTTATCCCGTCCTTCGCGGCGAACGTGGGAGTGGGAAAAGGAGCCGGAGAACTGGAGCGCTCCGGAGCGGCGGCCCCGTGGAGCATCCCGGCGCTCTGAGCCCCCGGATCGAGCCGCATCCTGGGAAAAGCCTCCGTATTCCCTGTGTATCCTCTGTTATCCCATGTATTTTTAACGTGCGGGACTTCCCGGGATGCCGGCGGGAAGGAGCCGCTCATCCCTGCGGAGCGGCCGCCGGGCCGGGCGCTTTTCCCGGTTTTCCTCCTGGTCTGTTTTTATTCCGGCCGAGTGTAAGCGGGAATGGGGCGCTCAATAAAAGCGGATCCACCGAGAGCTGGCGAATCCGGCGCCTTTTCCGCCCGGAGCCGCATCCCTCGGCGCCAAATCCATGCGGGAAGTGCACAGGAAGCACATGGGAAGCTCATGGGGAACGCATGGGAAGTGCATGGGAAGCATATGGGAAGCTCATGGGGAGCACATGGGAAGTGCCTGGGAAGTGCATGGGAGGTACATAGGAAGTCTGAGGGAAACGCATGGGAAGCACCCAGGAAGTTCATGGGGAGCACATGGGAAGTGCATAGGAAGCACCATGGGAAGTACATGGGAAGCACATGGGAAGCCCACGGGAGGTGCACAGGAAGTGTATGGGAAGTGCCTGGGAAGTGTGTGGGAAGCACACAGGAAGCTCATGGGAAGTGCATGGGAAACACATTGGGAATGTGTGGGAAGGGCATAGGAAGCTCATGGGAAGTGCATGGGAAGCTCATTGGAAGCACGTGGGAAGCACCCAGAGGACACTGGGAAGCTCATGGGAAGCATGTGGGAAGCTCATGGGAAGCCCATGGGAAGGTCATGGGAAGCGTGCAGGAAGGTCATGGGAAGCACATGGGAAGCACATTGGGAATGTGTGGGAAGGTCTTGGGAAGCTCATGGAAAGCATGCGGGACAGTCATGGGAAGCCCATGGGACCGGACGCTCGCGCTGCCCCCGGAGCCGTCGCTTCCCATGGAAGCGGCCGGAGCGGCCGGCGGGGCTGGGACGTGGAGCCCACGTGGGGCTGGGACACGGCCCGGTGTCCTGGTGTCCCCAGGGTCCCCCCACATCCCTGGTGTCCCCGGGTCCCCAGTGTCACCCCCGGTCCCTGGTGTCCCCTGGGCTCAGCCATGCCCGGCTCCCCGGGGGTTCAGCTCCAGCCCAGCCCCATAGATGGGTGCTCAGCACCCCCAGCCCCATAGATGGGGCCCAGAACCTCCCCTGCCCCATACATGGGTGCTCAGCACCTTGCAGCCCCACGGATGGGTGCTCAGCACCCCCAGCCCCATGGATGGTGCTCAGGACTTTCAACCCCATAGATGGGGCCCAGAACCTTTCCAGCCCCATGAATGGGTGCTCAGCACCCCCAGCCCCATAGATGGGTGCTCAGCACCCCCAGCCCCACGGATGGTGCTCAGCACCTCCCCAGCCCCATAGATGGGTGCTCAGCACCCCCAGCCCCACCGATGGTGCTGAGCACCTCCCCAGCCCCATAGACGACGTTCAGCACCCCCAGCCCCACAGATGGGTGCTCAGCACCCCCAGCCCCATGGATGGTGCTGAGCACCTCCCTAGCCCCATAGATGGGTGCTCAGCACCTCCCCAGCCCCATAGATGGGTGCTCAGCCCCCCAGCCCCACCGATGGTGCTCAGCACCTCCCCAGCCCCATGGATGGGTGCTCAGCACCCCCAGCCCCATAGATGGGTGCTCAGCACCCCCAGCCCCACGCACGGTGCTGAGCACCTCCCCAGCCCCATAGACGACGTTCAGCACCCCCAGCCCCACAGATGGGTGCTCAGCACCCCCAGCCCCATAGACGGAGCTCAGACCCCCACCACACAGATGGTGCTCGGACCCCCAGCCCCACGGCGGGGCTCCGCGCGCGCCCGGCGCCGCCGTCCCGAGCCGGGCTCTGCGTTGCCACCGCGGCGGCGCTTTATTGCCTCCCCGCGCCTACGTCTAGGCTGCCCTACGGCCCCGCGGGCCCCGGCGTCCGGGCGGCCTCAGCTGGGGCTCACCTGGCTGGAGGACACGGACGACACCTCGGTCTTCTGCGCCGAGCTCGACACGTCCGACTCGTCCGTCATGGCCTTCCCGCACACGGTCTCCAGGATGCAGGCGCGGAACTGCGGGCGCCGCGGCCGCTCAGCGCCACCGCCCTGGTGTCCCTGGGGTCCCCAAGGAACCTGCTCCCCAATGTGCCTGCTCCCCTGGTGTCCCCAATGTCCCCAAGGAACCTGTTCCTGTCACCGGGGTCCCCAAGGAACCTGCTCCTCTCACCGGGGTCCCCGAGGAACCTGCTCCTGTCGCTGGGGTCTCCAAGGAACCTGCTCCCCAATGTACCTGCTCTCCTGGTGTCACCAGGGTCCCCAAGGAACCTGCTCCCCAATGTACCTGCTCCCCTGGTGTCCCCAGGGTCCCCAAGGAACCTGCTCCTGTCGCTGGGGTCCCCAAGGAACCTGCTCCTGTCACCGGGGTCCCCAAGGAACCTGCTCCATTGGTGTCCCCAGGGGCCCCAAGGAACCTGTTCCCCAAGGAACCTGCTCCCCTGGTGTCACAGGGGTCCTGGGTGTCCCTGCTCCCCAATGTGTCCCGCTGCCCTGGTGTTCCCAGATATTCCTGGTCCCCAATGAATCCTGGTCCGCTGGTGTCCCCAGGTGTCCCTGGTCCCCAATGTACCCGCTCCCCTGGTATCCCCAGTGTCCTGGTTGTCCCTGCTTCCCAGTGTATCCCACTCCCTTGGTGTCCCGTGTGTCCCTGCTCCCCAGTGTGTCCCACCCCCCTGGTGTCCCCA